CTCCAAGAGGAAACTGTACTCCAGGGTGAGGTGTTGCACACTTGGCTGTGTGCTAGGTCTTTCTCTCTAGTACAGGCAGTCCCCGGGTTACATGGATCCGACTTACATCGGATCCCGACTTACAAACGGGGTGAGGCAACCCCCCACTAGCTGCTTCCCCCCCAGCAGACCAGGGAGACACGGAGCGGCTTTTCTTAGCAGACACCTCCGCTTGAATAAAGGACTGAGGGAAGTGAGGTGTGGGAGAATAAAACTGAGCTCTGGAGAAATGTTTGGCTAGAGTTTCCCCTACAATATATACCAGTTCCAACTTGCATACAAATTCAACTTAAGAACAAACCTACAGTCCCTATCTTGTACGTAACCCGGGGACTGCCTGTAACTGGTGTTGGGGACTTCTGGAGGCAGGATACAGGATAAGATTGGCCTGTACCACTCTGATTATTGCAGAGGAGCTGTTCAGAAGACATGCAAGGTACAGCTAGTTTAGGCTTATACACTTGAACCTCCTTAATATGGCAACCCTATGAAATGGGGTAAACTGGGATAAGGACATTTTGCAGATCATGGAGAGCGCTGGGGTGAGGTAATGGGGGGGCTTACCTGATGCCCTGCACTCCGGCCCACATGATTCCATGCTTGCTGTCATCACTCAGCACCACATTCAAGCAGCAGGGGAAAGCTGCTGGTGAAGTTCTTCACCATATTGCTGCCCTCCTCCCCCCCGCTGGGAGAGGAGAGGTGCAGGGAGGGCTACAGGGAGGGCGGTACCCCATTTAGCAAAATCTTTTGGAAGGGACCTGGGGTGGCAGTGCACCTCCTGGGTGCTACACAAGTTGCCTATGTTGGTTTGCAGTTCTACAACACATTGGACTTGGACCCCATTTTTAAACTAAGGAGTTGAATATTTTTGCTGCCTTGGTCTCTACAACTGTTGCAATTCTCACTCTTCAGCTAGGTAAAACAAACTACTTCTGACTCCAAGAAGCAGAGAGCCAAGCTGTCTGGCTTAGGTGACTGTTACCAAAGGAAGATCCTTTCTCCTAAGTCTAGGTACATAATCACCTCGGGCTGTAATCCTAAATCTGCATAGTCTCAGCCACGCCACCTGACTTCTAAATGCCTGCAATTTATTGGATTCCTTTACAGACTTCAGTTACAATTCACCACATACTAATCTTGTGGTGTTAAGCCTCCTTGCTTGTTTTGGATGTGTCCACTTGAACACCTGGCTGCTTATTCCCCGCTAGGAAAGTTTTCCCCCTCCCCTTGGGAGGACAGGTTGCTAGTCAGGTTTAATGGAATTCACTTCAAGCTGATAAACAATCAGATTCCTCCTTGCCTTTAACTTCTAGAGCAATGGTTCTCAAACTTTGGTACTGGTGACACCTTTCACATAGCAAGCCTGTATGATTTCCCCCCCCCCCCCAATATCTAAAGAGTATTTTTAACTAACATCATTATAAATGCCAGAGGCAAAGCAGGATTTAAGGTTGAGGTTGATGCTTGCAACTCCTGAGGATCCTCAGATCCTATTCTAGGGTCTGATGTTGCCAACATCACAAGTGCCTTGTATAATTGAGATACAAGAGACCAGCCTTTCTGCTGTTACTACTAGATACTAATGATCCTTGCAATGCTATGAAATCAGGTATCTTCCCTTTTCTGTAGACAGAAATCCAGTTCAGCTCCCTCTTAAGTCAATAGTTTTCTTATTGATTTTTTTTTTTTTTTTTTTTTTTTTTTTTTTTTTTACATGGGAGCAGGATCAGATGCAAGGTAAGCAAGATTGGGGGGTGAGGAGGCTAAATAGCATGTTGAAAGACACTGCCCTCATTGGTGGAAACTTAAATTGTAATTGGCATCTACCTCCTAGTACTGTGTTCCCTTTTCTCTTTCCAAACTAAAGTAGTAGGGGGAATCAAGTCTCTAAGGAATACTGCAGAGTTGCTGGTAACCTACCCCTCCACCCAGTACTAATTGGGAGCCTGGCATCTTCAAAGAAGCACAGTGCCCCTTTAAATATCTGACTAGCCTTACTTGCAACCGCTGAAATTACTCTGTGGTACTTTCAGTTTATTTATACATATCATCTTCATCAAATGCACCTGTCAACTCAAAACAAGGAGAAGCTGTGAGTCTTAGAGCTGCATTTTTTTTTAAACTGTTCTCCAAATCTTGCCATGTTCTGTTGTATTTGGGTTCAGTTTTTCTACTGGAAATGACTTTTTTGAATTCATTTAATGTCTCTATTAAACCTAATTACAAAACAGACACGCCTCTAAATAGTGCATTTCAGAACAGGCAAAACATGCTTCCTTTCTCTTGAGCTGATTGACTTCCTCTCTAGTACACTTGCAATGTCTTTGGTTAGTTCCTGCTTCTGTCCTCCAATTTGGACCTGCCTCTGACTGTTGTATTTGCATGTGAGTTGTAAATGGAGGCAGCTTCCTTCCATTCCACCACCTGTCTCTCGTTGTTTACTGTAGTTTAGATGGTCTTCACATTCACACTGTAAGTCAGTCAACATTCAGTACAAAGATTTCTTCCAGTTGGTCTGTTAATGAACTTAATAAGCAGGTTGGAGGGAGTGAATCCTTCTCTTCCCCCCCCCCCCCCCCCCACCTGGGTGGAGGAGGATCAGCAGCATCATGCTGGACCATTTAGAGGCAAGGCACTCCTCCAACAGACAGCCCTCTGCATTGGGAATCTAGTGCTGACTGTTACTGACCTGCTGGAAGACCTATGACAACCTCTCTGTGCATCCCTTTGTACATCACCTCCTCCCGCAGTGACTTGGCGGGAGCCTTGGAGCTGCTGTAACAACTTGGCATCCGAAGCTCTTCCCCTCCCCCATTGTTTCTTTGGGTTGGGGATAGAGGACAAACTCAATTAGGGCTTCCTCAGTCCCTGGAAAGTGCCCTTGACCCCTTAGTGACAGAGGAGCATGTGCTCCATAACTGAACAAGGGGCTTTCTGTCTCCTTGCTCCTGATGCCTGCAGAGATCCCGTGCCCTAAAGATTGCTGCAAAGGGAGGAGAAGCCTTGAGGGTTCACTATTCCACTGAGGTGCCTTAATACTCATTAGCCCTTAATGCCTCTGCTGGGATTATCAGCAAGGGGGCCAATTAGTACAGACTCTGAGTTAACATCCTTTAGGGACTAAATTGACACTCCTCTTGCAGACACTCCTCTTGCAAGCTATCTGGGTGCTTGTCTCCTTAATGACCATCTTGAGCTTGGCTCAGGCCGCGGACAAAGAAAGCTTCCTATCCAGTTACTGCTTTCCTACTAGTTCTTGTCCCTATGGAATAGTTCAGTGTGTGCCCCCAAACACGCTTACCATCTCTTCTGGAATCCAACTTTGCATAAAATTGCTTGGCTCATTGCAAAGGAAAATGTAAAGATACTTGTGCACTAACACTCCTGGCAAATTAATCGTGTACAGCTCTTGTGCCTAAAGCCAACTAAATGTAAGGCCACATCTTGAGCATCCAGTGATGGTTTTTATAGCATGCCATGTGAAGTCAGTTATTAGAGGCTAGCACAGGAGTGAGCGATAATTTTTGATGGGGAGGGGGCACTCCAGGATTTTGGTAAGTGTTCAAGGGCCACCATTTTCTATGGAGGGGGTGCAGAGTCTAGTATGGAGGCTAGGTGCAGAAAGGAGCTGGGGTAGGAGACTGGGATGCAGGAGAGGGTGTGGAGTCTGAGATGGAGTTTGGGTGAAGGAGGGGGTAATGACCTGGGGCAGGGGTTTTGGTGCAGGGTCCAGGAGGGGATATGAGTGTAGGAGAGGATTCTGGGCTGGTGAAGTGCAGGAAGGGTGTAGGGTCTGGGAGAGAATTGGAGTAGGGGCAGGGGTGAGGTGCCAGCGGTAAGCTCTGGACAGGAGGCACTTCCTACATAGCTCCTGGTCAGCAGCCCAGCAGTGCCCAGAGACAGCCTTCTTCCTGCCAGCAGCTCCAGAGCACTTGAAGCAGCTAGTTGTTCATGTGGCTCTCTGCACTGGTGGGGGAGGCTTTGCTTTTGGGTAAAGCATGCATGTTGCTGTAATGTAGAATTTTCTCCTAAATTCATATTACACTGGTAATGTGCTACAGACTTCTGCAGCATTTATGCTTCTGGTCAGTGGCTTGTATACACATTGTTACCTATTGCAAGCAAAAGCTTTAAATGCTAACAAATCACATATTGTAAACTTTAAAAGTTTGTGAATAGTTAACCACAAGTCAAATTCCTTTTTCACCTTCAAATTTCCTATCTTGGATCTGTAAATGTGTAACTTCCTGCTTAAGAGCTTAAAAAAAAAACTTATAAATAAGAAGCAAAACTTTAACTAGCATGCAAAAACAAAGCCTTGCAAGAGCATGTGAATGATGGTGGCTTAATGTAGTATCATAGTTGTTTTTGTTTGTTTGGGGTTTTATGGGTTTAGCTTATTGTACTGTTTACCACCATGAAACTGAAATTGTCTCTAAGAATAGTTCTCAACAGCTTGATCACAAATATGAATTAATCTCTCCCCCTCCCCCCATTTGTAAACTGGGGAAACTGAGCAAGTTGTCCTGCTGGCCTCTGGGTGTCACATTAATTGGAGGCCTGGTATAGAAAAGATGATGCCTTGGGCAAGCCACTAGATGTGTTAATACACCTTGCACTGTGACCCTCACTGGTTTGTCGTGCAAACCTCAAAGTATAAGGGAGACACTGATTTTTATTATAGGTTTTGAGTTATGTTGCATGTTACTCCACTCAGGAGCACTGAAGATTTCTGATGCTTTGTAGTGCTCATGGCAAGCATTTATAACCGCTTTTTTTCTTAAAATGAGATGCCCATGACACATGTAAACTAAATCAACTCTGTTTAGTAATCTTAAACCAGAAACGAAGTTTGTACCATAGTATAGGGATCGATGTTCTGTGGCTTCTATCTTTCACTCGAAGCTTTGTACGTTTATTTAGAAAAGTAACTTTTTTTTTTTTTTTTCTGTTCTTAGGTACTGGGTCAAGCATACTGTCTGCTCTGCAGGATTTATCCTGGTTGTCCAAGTCCAAAGTAGAGAAACAACTTCAGATAATATCTGTGCTACAATGGGTCCTTACTTTCCTCATTATGGGTAAGAAATAAACTTTTATTCGAAAATGAAGGTTCTTGATTAAAAGCTTCAGGGGGTAGCAGAGTTATTCTGTAACAGGAAAAATGTAAAACAACAAATAGTCTGGTAGCACTTTTAAGACTAACAATATATGTAGATGGTATCATGAGCTGTCGTGGGCACAGCCCACTTATTCAGATGACCAGCTTATCAGTTTTCATAAGAAGTGGGCTGTGCCCACGACAGCTCATGATACCATCTACATATATTGTTAGTCTTAAAAGTGCTACCAGACTACTTTTTGTCATTTTGATTAAAACTGTCCTTGCAGAATTCAACTTGTGGGCATTAGCAGCTAAGGTAAAACCTATTAGGTCTCCCTCTGCTTAAGAACAGGGTGTTACTATTGCTAGATAAACAAAATGCATAGGAAGGATTACTACACGCATGTAAGCAGGGCTGATCTGTAGGTATTGGAACACAAGGGTGCAGATCTCTTTTAAAATCCTTCTGTACAGTCTGTGCTCTGTAGATAAACCTATGTTTTGCCATGAATGTTCCAAATGTAGTTGGGAGGGGGAAAGTAACAAATCTTCTTTTCTTTTGGCAGCCACTCTAAGAATACAAAATAATGTGGTGAGCTGCTTCTTACGGTATATTCTGAGCTTTGTTCAATCTAGTTTTAAACCTCTCTAGCAATGGGGCCCTTCACTGGGCAAGAATCTCCAGAGGAGCTCAATGTTGGGGAATGCTTCTAGCTGCCCACCCTTGTAGGTGACATTTTGTCCAAAGACTTCCTTCCTGCCTCAATTGTTGCTTCCTCCTCTGAGTGGAAGGAAAAGAAGCATTTTAGTTGGGGGGAGGGGGTGTTCCCCTTGATTGTCTCTAGTATTAAAGTAACTCAAAGCTGGTTAGCTTCTTTGGTCACTGATTGCATGTGACCATCTTGCCAGTTCTGATTTGAGCCACCATTAGCATGCCATAAATACTTTCTATTCATGGCCTATACATTGCCAGTTGGGAGTTTTCAGCTGAATTCCCTCTTGTTTCATCTCAGACAAGTTTGGGGCGGGGGAGGGAACATTGAGAGGGGGATGTAACCCTTCTGCCAGGCAGAGTAAATAGCAGCAAGGGCCAGGTTCAATATCTAGGGGTCTCCTCCCAACAAGGCAATACAACACCGGCTCGAGCCCCCACCCAGTGACCTGGGAAATCTTACATACACCTCTGGGTGCCTCAAGAGGCAATTCTTCCCCTCTCCCAAGCACAGAGCCTCAGTATAGTAGCAAACCTTTAATAACATGAGGTAACCCCCCATCTGCATTAAATTGGGGAAACACCACAACTCAAACATGAGCAAAGGCCCTCCCCCAGCCACAAATCCCCCCCAAAGTCCCACACCCCAAAAGTCTCTGCCCGGTCAGTGCAGCCTCCAGAGTTCCGCAGAGTTTCACCATCCCAACCTGGAGGGGTGGGGATCCGACATGGTGGTGGCTCCGCCTGGTGCCTGGACGACTGTCTGCTGCCACTCCCAGCTGCAGGTCGTCCGCTCGCTGTCTGCCTGCACTTGCAGGTCACCCCTGCCAGCTGCATCTGCTGTCCATCTGCACTTGCTGGTTGTCCCTTGCAAGCTATTCTGCTAGTAGCACAGCACTAGGCTCCCCTCAGCACACAGTGATTTCAACTCATAACAGAGGAGCCTTAGGACTAGTGCTCCACTGGCCCACAGTGAAGTTAACTCCATAGCTCACAACTAGACTCTTAATGGAATCCAAATTAACTCTGATATTCCACAGTGGAGAAAGGACGGGGTGCAATCTGTGTTGTTCAGGCCCTCAGACAGGACCCTACCACCAGGTACAAAGACCTATTCCCAGCTTCTCTCAATTTGACTGGGTTTGGAACCCATGCCCCTTGTCTAGCGAGTGCTACTTAGTTTATGATGAATCCCTCTGTCATAAACAGTTCCACCATTCCATTGTCCTTGATTCACATAATCAGGGTAACAACACGTTTATCCCCCCTGCCTCAATAACAGAGACTGGGGATCCCATAGTGGCCAAAAGCAGCATTTGGGCTGCTGTGAGCACATACTAGACTGGGTGGGTGTGTCTATGCAAATTGGGCTCCACCCCTGAAGTCTTTGAACCACTTGCCACAGTTCACCACCAGATGTCAGGATAGTTTACCCTGACTCTGCTTACAGGGAAAAACCTCCATCTTACTTCAAAATCAGCACTTACCTGTCTTAATAAGCGAAGGCCCAGCATGGTGCAAGGAGGTAGTGAGGAACTCTTTTGTGTGTGTGTGTTAGGGAATGAGTCCATTGGAAGTCTTTCCTGTGACTCAACAAAATCGAGCCAGCAATAGTCTCTCAGTAGGAGGTTCAAGACCCTTCTGCAGTAATGAGAGATCTGTGGACTCTGAGGATGGGGCAGGGAAATAGCTTGGTCTCAGCCCTATCGAAGGCTTAGTCTCAGTGTGATATCACTAATCTGTGATGCCTAAATCAGATTGAGTATAAAAAGCTGTAAGTATGGTCCAGTCAAAAGGCATAGGGTGGTAATAGTGAGAGATGTCTGCTCTGCAAAAATGAGGCTTTTTTTAATGCCACTTCTCCTCTCTGTCCCCTTGGCAACTGTAGGTGTTGCTTGCACTGTAACCCTCATGTACATACTCTGCACAGACTGCTGGGTGATTGCAGCGGTCTATTTGGCATGGCTGGTGTTTGACTGGAATACTCCAAAGAAAGGTAGGTTGTCAGAATGTTGCATAGCGAGGGAAGAGGGCTTTATATAGGAAATGCTGTACACTAAAGAAGGTGAAAGATTCTCCATAATAGATAATTATGGAAATGTCTTTACATTTGGGATGGAAAGGAAGGGGCAGTGGAAACTTGTCAGTTACTGGCTAGCTTGCACTGTGTAAGTAAGTCTAAGGCATGTCAGTACATGTTGGGAGCTGCCTGCAGTAACTGGTGCACAATTCCTATGCATGGAGAGCCATTGCCCATCAGGCTAACATGCACAATGGAAGTGTACAGAGCAAGCCATATGATGGCACTGTAAGGGTGCATCTCTCTACACAGCACCTTAAACTTGAAATAAGATATGCAATTTACACTATGCAAATTGCATATCTTATTTTTATTGTATTTCAGTAGCCTATTTTGAAATTTGGCACATCTACATGGCACCAGATTTCAAAATAACGTGCTGTTTCGACGCATCCCTTAACCCTTGTTCCATGAGGGTTACAGGGATGCTGAAATAACAGGTGTGCTATTTCAAAAAATATTTCGAAATGATGGGCACGTTTAAAAGACACGGTGCAGCTATTTTGGGATACTGGAAGGTATCCAGAAAAAGCCACGCTGTCTAGACATAACTAGAGAATTAGTGCAGAATAGATGATGTGCTTTAAGCTCTCTCTACTTCATTGCACACTGACTTCCTCCTGTAGACTAGTCCTTACACCTGCCTATATGTTGTCCTAGGAAATGACTGCATATTTTCCTATCCTTTTAAATATAATGTAACCTCTCTCTCAATCCTGCTACATTCTAGCCATTAAGGATGTTGTGTAGTAGTGAGTTCCACAGGCTAATTACTTGTGTCTACACTTTTTTACAAGATCCAGAAGTCTATGCTTGAACCTTGCAAGCCAAATTAAAACCTGAGTTGGCAAAAGCCAAGGGGCGAAGTTAAAATGTTTATAGTTCAGATCAATTGGCTGCTTGGATTAGTGATATACATGTCTTCAGGGGGTCTATTTTGAGTTACTGTCTGGGGAGAGCTCTATATTGACCTACCAGAAGATTCTGAGACTGGTTGGGTCTCACTTCAGTTGACACTTGAATACAGTTGCCTCTTGCTTGAGGTTTTTTTAGTAGGGTAAGGAGAGAGGGCAGTTGGGGCCACCAGACATTAGACTTAAGGTCTCAGCCAGACTGATACTTTGCATAGCTTTCAATTAAAAAAGATCCTGGTTGAGCTAATGGGACTTTCTGAGTAGAAGAGACTGAGCCAAAAGATGGTAAACATGGATGTCCTGACCCTGCAAACTCCTGTGTTCAGTTCTACTGTTTGCATAGCACTGGGACTTGAGGCTCCTGAGGTCGTGCCAACTTTGCTGTGCAGCTGTTGCTTGAAGCCTAGCTCTCTTCAGACGCCAAGGAAAGGTGCAGGTGCTCCAGACCTTTGAATAAAAGCCTGTAGAAGGCTTTGTGCAAGTCTTTCTAAAGTGAAGTAATAGCTACCTTGCAGTGCACAGTGCAGACACCCTACAGCCTAGCCCTGAGAGCCTCTGATAAACATCTTTGGTGGTACTCTTCCACATTACAACTGATTATTCTCAAAATGCACCTTCTTCCCTCTTTTTTTCAAGGTGGAAGAAGATCCCAGTGGGTCAGAAACTGGGCCATATGGAGATACTTCAGAGACTATTTTCCAATACGGGTAAATAACCTTTTTTTTCCCCCCCTCTTTTCTTCTCTCCCTCCCTCCGTTCCACTCCTGACTGTACTGAAAGCTCTTCTGTTCCTCTTAAAGATATGTATTGCAGTAACCTCTTGGGTGGTGTTCCTTTGACATGAGGATACCGGCTCTTGCTTGGTACACAGGCCTTGCTTTATCCTTAGTTGAAACTGAAATATCAAGGTCATAAAATGTACTTTATTTAGGATCCCACCACATGATGTGTATTTCCCTGAAACAGTCATCTCTTGCATCATAGACTTGGTGCATCCCTAATCGATTCTGATAGGAATGTCATTTGCTTCCACGATGACTTCCCATTGACTCAAGGCGGCAGTTTGCCTTGGAGAAATCTAGTGATACAAGAACAGCCTATAAACAATGGATTTGGCTGTTTGTTCATTTCCCTCCCACTCATACTACAACATGCAGAGGAGATTGCATTCATGCCACACATTTTGTACTCCTTTCATAGAATTTGACCTAGGTCCAAGATGTAGTCCATTGCCCTTAAGGTTTTTGGGTTGAATAGTGGGTGATCACTCTAAACTCTACTTTTATTATTAACATGCAAAATGTCCTGGGAAGTGACAGTTATGTTTATCATACCTGCTTGCTAATGGTGGGCATAATAGCCTTAGTAAACAGCTGCTCTGTCTCTGGGCTCCTGAGATGCTGTTCAAGTTGCTGGTAACCAGGGTTGAAACTTACAGCTTTCATTTAAGCTACATCATAGCTCGTTAGGCTTCATCTACACTGCAGGGTTTTTGCAGAAGAAGCTTTTTGCAGAAGAGATCTTCCGCAAAAACTTCTTGCGCAAAAGTGTGTCCATACCACAAAGAGTATTGCAAAAGCAATGTGCTTTTGTGCAAGAGTGTCCATGCTGCATGGATGCTTCTGTGCAAGAAAGCATCAGAGCACCTGTGCTTTTACAGATACGGGTTTCTTGTGCAAAACCCCTCAAGTGTCCATACCTGCCTTTTTGCACAAGAGCTATAGCGCAAAAAGGAGTTCCTCATGGGAAGTAGAATAACTCTACTGGCAAAAGCCCTCTGTTCTGCCGATTTACTTGCGCAAAAATGCGCTTGAGGTGTGGACGCTCCACTGGGTTTTGCACAAACCAGCTGTTTTTGCGCAAAAACTTTGGTACAGACGTAGCATGAATGAAATAATTCGAGAATTCTTGCATGCCAGTTTGCGGCACAAGGCTTTGGAATTAGCAGGATTCTGTTTCACAGCACTGCAAAAAGATGTGTAAGTAGTGAGGAAAGGGCCTGGAGTTAAAGGTCCATCTCTAACCAGATGGAGTCGAACCCCCTGCAAATGTCCACTTCTGAGGAGGAGCAGGCTGCTAAGTTTACCTACTTTGAAAGGGACTCAAGGGGGCTGGGTGTGACTTGGACCTTAAATTACTCTGTTCTTGATCTTGCAAATCCTTTCTAATGCTCTACTCTGTGCACCTCCCACCCCATGCAACCAGTCTCCCAGCTAATAATTGAGTCAATTAGACTAGTCCCTGGAGGAGATTGATGGAAATGACAAGTGTGTGAGATGAGAGGGAGGGGCAGGGGTGTGGAAAATACACTGAAGTAATTTTTCTATGGAGTGGGGAACTCTTTTGAGCTTGTTAGAGGGCTTGGGGCTGGGAAGAGGTCTGTTCTGAGACTGCCTATTGGAAGAATGGTAGGTAGCTCAAGGTACTTTATTTTACAAATACCACGGCAGTTGTTAAAGTGAGTATTTGCTAACAGATAATATACATCCATATCTAATGTCGCTTTCCCTATACTTGGACTAAATGAATTGTTAGCTTTTTAATAGTGACTCTTGCTGTCCTTTAGCAATCAGATGCAAAGCAACAAAACTAAGCACATCAAAGAACTAGAACTTATCAAAACTAACTCCTTGGCTTGTCTATTAAAAGCTTATCCGATACCTCCCAAGGGATTTCTTAAACCAAGGGGACTCATGCCAACTTGTCATCGTGCTCTCCCTAGTAAGGGAGGGAGTGCTGCTACCTCACTGACCCTTGGGCCCTGCATGGAGATGGTGAATCTAGATAAGCATTGATCATCAGCCCCATAAACAGTGGAATGTGAAGTCAGCAACTGATTCGGCACAGACCTAGGACATCTGTGCCAAGTAATGTCATGCAGCACGCAGGCATAAGGGAGGAGAATATTAATCAGAGAAAAGCAATTATCTGGATACTTCCAGCTGTCCTCCAGCAGCTGGAGATTCGTCCTAACTGTTGTCCTCTCTCCCTGAAACCTCAACACCAGACATCTTCCAGATCGGCTCTCTGCACATGTCAAAGAGGCAAATGGGCAAGGCCCTTTCTCAGTGTCAAATCTGCAGCTATTTTTCCTCTCAGCTGGGGCAAAGTCCTGCTTGGCTACTATTAGCTAGTGACCAGGCCTGTCCCATGTAAGGAAACAAGCCCAGGTGCTTTAGCTGCCAGATGGACCTGGTACATTGAAACATGTCTGAAAAGCACCCTTTTCCTACATGTGTGTTAGTGGAGGGTTTTGTTCCCCCCCCGCCCGGGGGTGGAGAGGAAGAGCTGCAAGCAGGGCAAAGCTATTAAACAGCCAACACCACATCTAGCCGTTTCTCTCCTGAGGTTGGAAGCCCTATTCCAGTACTCCCCCTGTGGTACTCAGTGGCCTTGTCTATGTTAGGAACCTGACTACAATTTCCCCGCTCCTGCTGCCAGTGGCTTTGCTCCACAGCTGATAGCAAGAGACCTACTCTCCATGCTGCCCAGGCTGGGGGTTCTCACTTCCAGGAAAAACTGGGTTCTGTGCACAACCCCAGGTCTTAAAACAACAGAGCTTAAAAGTGCAACCTGATTAGTGTGAGTGGGTAAGAACACCAACTCTGTCCACACATCTATAAGAGCAGCAACATCACAGGACCTAACCGCATAAGCCACCAATGTAATCTATGCCACAGTGCCCCTCTGCCATGTGTATTGGCCAGAGTGGAAAGTCTCTGACATAGGTTTAATGGACACAAATCAGCTCATCTAAATGGTAATACATAAAATGGTAATGGAACACTTTAACTTGCCAGGGCACTCCTTAATGGATCTAAAAGACTATATAATTACATGGCAATTTTAGAAACCAGTTTGAGAGAAGCTGTAAATGAAACCAAGTTCTACAGGTTTGACATCTTAAACCAAGGTCTGAACAAAGACTTTACTTGGATGGGCCACTACATTTAACACCCTAATGACATACACGTTAAGTATTGGGCATTTATAGCTCACTCTATTAGCCTCATTTAGCATGGACAGTCTAATTGACACTTTTTTTTTCCCCCTTCCCTTTCCCTCTCCATCCTCTATTTCTGCTATTTGCAACTCTGGATGCTTTGTTCTATTCATCTGAAGAAGTGGATTGTGCCCAGAAAAGCTCATGGTACTAGCTACATTATTTTATTAGTCTCTAAGGTGCTGCAGAACTACTCCCTGTTCTCTCCTAAGTCTGCTTCAGTAGAAACTGTCACTTTCCCATCAGCTGGTAGTAGCAACAGTGAAGCATGGGCAGAGTTAAGGTGATAATGACTCATTACAAACTGCTTAGGACTGGCAGGGATTGGTCAGTTCAGATGTGCCTTTGGGTGTGAGCTGAGACCAATGATTTGTAGAGTTCAGTATTGATGATGATTCAAATTAGTGCCTGGGTTAATCTAAATAGCCGTCAGCTGTGTGGGCATTGAGCAAACTCTGGCCATATGGCTTTATATAAACATAAAATGAGAGGTTTCAGTCCCTCCAAGTACTGAGCCACTAAACACGCCATCAATAGCAGGGCTGAAATATAACTAGCAGTCTGGTGGTACCTTGTGACCTAATAAATTTATTGGTCTAAGCTTAAGTAGGTAAAACCCACTTCAGAGTAGGAGTGGAAATTCTATAAACACATGGTGGATTCTGTAACTTCCACTCCTCCTCGTCTGAAGTGGGTTTTACCCACTAATGTCTGACATTTGTTTGTAACTTTAAAAACACCAAGAGGTCCTGTGGCACCTTAACACAGCTGCCCCTCTGAGGGCTAGTCCCTGAAATCTGTTTTGGTGTTCATTTTGTCCTACATGGCTCCTATTACCGACAACTTGCTCTGGTCTGCATATGTCTGATACCAAACCAGCTATTGTCGTCTTCTAAAAAGGCAGAGCTGGCTCCTGCAAGCCGTCTAATCACATTCCCTGGAACCAAATGCAGATGTGCTAAGCATTTTGTCTAGGTCCCATGGCTGCCATGACAATGAAGGAGACTTGTACAGGGCAAAATTCTGCATCACAGAGAATAGGACTTTGAGCAACAGTAGAATTGTGTGTATTTCACTGTGGTTGAGCACCAGCTCCCACTGGTTAACCATAACCAGTAAGCCTTACCTGTTAAGGGTGAGGGTAACTGGTTAACCCTTTACATTGTAATGTGGGCTGTGACACTCCCGTAGCCTTGGAGAAGGTGAGGCTTGGTCACTACTCTGCACTGCCAGATGGTTGTACTGTATTTAGAAAATGCTAAGGGTTGGGAAGCAGAGGAAGCTAGGCACTAATCCCGTGTCCTCTTTCAGTTAAAGACCAGGCCGGATGCAAAACTGACCTACTACCAAAAGCATAGGGAATATATTTAGTGAGGTTGGCATGTAAGGGAGCAAAATAACTTTAGTTAGTGGAGCAGAAATAAGCTTAGGAAGCTGTTGGCTTAGTACAGCTTATGTCTGTTGCTACTTAAGGATGGGCCTTGGAAGTAGCAGTTCTTTGAGCTTAGCAGTGTAGGTAAACTACTGTCCTGGAGCAATTTCTGGATTGGGGTCACAGTCAATATAAGGTCTATACAAGTCCTAACCTTTGATGTGGTCAGTCTGGACCAGATGCTGTAACTGATACTCAATTGTGACATGGGGACACTACCTACTTAATAACCACTGAAGGTGCTAACAGCTCTCTGAGTGGTATCCTTCCTG